AAGTTTCACTTCTTTAATTTTTATGAAATTCTATTTTGATAATTTGATACTCAAAAGTACAAAAAATAAGCATTAATTATGCTCCAAAATATCAATATAAAAGTGAGAAGAATCAATTTTTAAACTAAATTTTAGTTTTTTGAGTTTGGGGGAAATGTTAGGTATAAACTCAGGCTTTTGAGTATCAAATTGTCATATTAATATTATTATGACAAATCTCCAGGATAAACTAATATCAATCACACAAAATCACGAAAAATATCAAGAAGTTAATAACACACAGATATACGTGGTTCGGCTTATAGCCTACATCCACATGCGAAGGAGAAGAATAGGTTCACTAATAATTTGTGAGGATACAATTTGAAGGTCTCTTAATCACTTAATCCTTATACACCCCAAAACCTTAAAACAATCTATCTCAAATAAAGAAACAAAAAAGAAAAATATCAAATAGGCTTCACAAGAGAACGCTCTCATCTTGATTGGTGTCTGTAGATTGATGATCATAATTAGTTTGAAAGACTGTGCATATATATACTTAAAGATCACAACTTTTTGCTGTCTACGGAAAGAGGAGTTCTAGTGGGATTAGAAGTCTATGTGTTATAAAGCCCAATAAGAGCATAAGACCACAATATGAATTGTTTATCCTTGTCAAAGTAAAAATTTGAATTCATATAATTATTCCACACTCCCACAAGATAACAAACTCCTATTAATTGCAGCCTCTGCCAAAAAATTTATATTGAGTATTTGAGTCACAACACAACAAATCTCCACATTGACTCAAATGCGCCAAACAATCCTCACTCTAAAAAACTAAGTTACTCCACTTTCTCCAATAGTCCCGTAGGGCATCAAGCGCAACACATATTAATCAAGTCCAAGCATAGCTTGAACTTGCCATCTGAAAGATGCATACTCAATAAATCTACTAACTGTCTATATGACAACCGTAATACTTAGTAAAGTCGTTACCTGAAGTAGCTCCTGAATAGCTGAATGGCAAAAAATTGACAACTGACAATGCATAAGCTACGATATCTTCATATCTTCACGGTGGTTGAATATCTCGTCTAGACCGATCTCTAGCAATAGTGTATTATCTCTCTTCTTGCAGCTACTGAGGTGTTTTATCTGCTTGAACGGGATCTGGCTGCTGAACTCTCGTAGTTTTATTTTGCTATAGAACTAAATCACGAATTTCTAACTCCACTTTCTATCCTGTAGTGCGCTGAATCCGGTGACTATTTTTTGTGGAGCATAGTAGACTTATAAAAAAGTGACATCACGGTTGATAATAATCTTAGAAGACTTCGGATTAGGACACTATAATCTAAACCCTTAACACTCAATATACCAAGGAATATGAACTTCTTCACTCAAGGCTCAAGTTTCCCTTAACTAATGTGCACATATGTAAGGCAACCAAATATTCTAATATTAGAATAATACGCAGGCTTACCGAACCAAACCCTCTCTGGAGTTTTACAACTGATTGTAGTAAATGTAGACCAATTCACTAAGTAACAAGCCATATTCATAGCTTCTGCCCAGTATTTATTGCCTAAAACTACATTGAATAACATGCAATGAGCTTTCTCTAAAGATTTCTATTCATATGTTCTGCCACTTCATTTTGTTGCAGTGTGTGAGAACTATGCGATGTCTAAAGATTCTCTCCTCCTTGCAGAACTCATTAAATTCTTCTTCACAAAACTTAAAGTCATTAGCAGTTCTAAGCCTCTTAATCAGCCTCCTAATCTGTTTCTTAATCAAAGAGTTTCGTTGTTTAAAAGTCACAAATAACTCATATTTATGTCTCAAAAAATAGACCCAAACCTTTCTGGAGTAATCATTAATGAAGGTCAATAAATATCTCGAACTACTACTCTTCAATGCAACTTGAGAAGGTTCCCAAAAATCTAAATAACTATAATCTAAAGTACCTTTAGTCTGATGCACTACCGTATTGAAGCTGACTTTTTTTTATTCTTGGAAATGTAATGCTCGCAGAATCCTAATTTTTCTATACTCTGTTCACAAAAGACTCTTCTTGTTCAACTCGGCCAATCTACACTTACTCATATGACCAAGTCTTTATATGCCATATTCTGGTAGTATCTACTTCCAATATTGATGATGCAGCTGCAGCCGAACCGATAATGGTAAAATCCTACAAATTATTCAAGCTGCCGATCTTTTTTCCTTTCATAACTATAAGAGAGCCTTTTGTAACCCTAATAACTCTACCTTCACCTAAAAAATTGCACTCAAGACTATCAAGAGTGCCTAAAAAAATGAGATTCTATCTAAACTTGAAACATACTAATATTAGTCAAAGTCTTAATAACTCCATCACACATCTTAATCCAAATTGTGCTTTTCCCAATAGTTTTGCATGATGTATTATTCCCCATAAGAACAACTCCATCATCAATAGCTTCATAAATGGTGAATCGGCCCCGATTAGGACACATATGATAGTAACAATCCAAATCTAAAATCCAATCATCCGTGCTTCTGTTTTTATCATCAGTATCCAATAAAATCATATTTTTAGCGATATCAACTTTAGCTATATATGTGAAATAGGTCGAGAAGTACCACCTTTTGAGTCGCCCTCGAGAGATGTCGGTCGAATGGTCAGTCGAGTAGGTTGGTCAGGAAGTTGTTCTAGTCGGGGGTCAACATGTAACGCCTTTTGAGTCCCCTCACGAGATGACGGTGTGTTGAGTCGTCTGAGCTGGGTCTTTGATTATCTTGAAGTGAAGAGCTGACTCGATTACATATATTGTGGGACACTTGTCTGCTATTGCTTTGGATATTACTTTTTAGCACTAAAACGGCTATAACATAGTCTTTTAGGTAGTTTTAAATTATTTCTTTCTTTGAGGAATTCTATTCTTATTGAGAATAGACTTTGTTTTTCTATTTAAGAAGAGAGATTTACTCTATGGGTAGATCATTTTTATCAATAAGATTTTTTATTATATTTTCTTTATAGATTCGAAGTTCTTCATGGATTTAGACATTGTTCTTTATGGATTTAAGAAGCACTACTTGATGAATTTCGATGTTTATCACTTTCACACTATGTTATCGAATATAAAATTAGTCTGCCTTAATCAGTCCAAATTGGCTTTGGGCTACCCGTAAACTCGAATGCAGTTCATTCGCAAAAAATTGCTATTGCTTTTTAATACATTCATGACTAGATCCATTATTATTGACAACTTCGACATAGAACTTATAGAATCTAAATTTTCAGACTTAAAAAATTTTGTAGACTAATTATTATTGGGCTTAGGTTTGAATAGATTTCGGATAATGCAAATATATATTTCAACATACAGTTTTGTTATTATGGGACCAAAAAGTTGGTCAGTAGATGAGCATGTCTCGGATCACATTGAGATAACTTAGAGTAGAACTCAAGTATTATATCATCATCTCCAAATCATCCAATATTTATTGGATGAACGTTACATTATACCTTCCACTATATTTTTTGTGGTTTACTCCTCAAGCAATCCTCTAAAAGGAGATATCATGTGGTTGTCTGCAATGTTCAGCTTTGTGCGATAAGAAAAAGGAGAACAACGTGGAGAGGTCATACTGTGGGAATAAGCTTAGCTGTAAGTTTCAGAGGATAGCGGTGTACAGATGGGAAACAAGATGGGTGCTTATGTCTCAACTCGCGCCATTGTTCCTAGGATAAGTTCGAGTTGTTGTTTTTTTAACTCAAATTTTTTTTTAATTTGTTAATATATTTCTATTTTACCACAGGTTTTCTCCTAAATTATTTTTTTTTCCAAATTTCCTTTTCGATTTAGCTTTTCTTCTTTGAGAGTCTAAACTTAAATTTACCCGAATTTTTGTTTGTGCTGTTTATGCTAAAAAGTTACATGAATGCTCAGTGCATCTTAGAAATTGAAATTCTATCCAATCAAACTATGTGCAAGGCAGCTTGCAAGCCTTTTCGAGTAGATACCTATTTAATCGAATGGGTGAGACAATTTGATATTCACTAGTGCAAACATACAGATTGAGAATGATAAACATCACTAATTTAATCGCTCCATTGCGAATAGACCTCTTATGGTTCTAATTGTGCGGATATACCCTTTGAATGAATATTTTAATTTTAATTTCAACTTTAAGAGAGAGAAAAGTTTTATAAAGGCAGATAAACTCCTTGTTGTTCTATCGACGCGGATAGGAGCCAAATTGCTGATGTTTCTTTATTCTTAAAAGAGTCAGAAAAATTCATGGAGGATGTTAATCTTCGAAAAATTCATGGAGGATGTTAATCTTCATATTTTTAAATCCCGTAAAGATACAGCTATAAGGAGTCTATTCACAACTAGGTGATACTAAAAAGGGTCTACCGGCAATTAACCCTTTAATTTTTGAAAAATGCGCGCGCTTATCTAAACTCTAACTAGGATTTTACAAGACAATGCGATGTTTTAAAGTACCAACATTTTCGTGCTGCTGCACTCTTAAATCCACAGCATATAATGTAAGTATGTTTTAGATGTTTTTTTATTTTATTTTTATAATACGTTTTCGATGTTGTATGATACACATTTCGCTCTCAGGATTTAGTTAGATCACATCCATCAGATAAACTACAGCTCATCCAATCAACGGCCAAGATTTCACCCTCATCCTCTAATTCCATCACGAAGCGTCCCAGCTCGGCTCTCCCGAACCCGTTATCGTCACCGAAAATAGGACAAATTTTTAAAAACAATCTGTTTAAAAACTTAATTTCAAAAAATTGTATATTTAGAAATTATTTATTAAATTCGACTTTGATAAATATTTTTTAAATAGACCATTTTAAATTGTTGAAACTGAGTTGAATTTGATAAATATTTTTCAAATAGAACGTTTTTTAAGAATAAGTTTCGGAATTGGGCTAAATTGAAAATTGTGCCCGAAAATATCTACCCCACAAAAATCACTATCCAACCGGTGACCACACTGACGGTGTCCACAACTCTACGCGCTATAAATCTCCCTCCCAAAATTATCTCAGTTCTCACACCTTCGCGCTCTCTGTAAACCCTAACCCTAGCCTTTTCGATCTCAATCGAGGAAGAAAATGAGAGAAATCCTCCACATACAGGGCGGCCAATGCGGGAACCAGATCGGAGCTAAGTTCTGGGAGGTGATCTGTGACGAGCACGGCATCGATCACACTGGAAAGTACAGCGGCGACTCAGATCTCCAGCTCGAGCGCATCAATGTCTATTACAATGAAGCAAGCGGTGGACGTTACGTTCCGAGAGCGGTGCTCATGGATCTTGAGCCGGGGACTATGGATTCGGTCAGATCTGGGCCTTTTGGTCAGATCTTTAGGCCTGATAACTTTGTCTTTGGGCAGAGTGGAGCTGGGAATAATTGGGCCAAGGGGCATTATACTGAGGGAGCTGAGTTGATCGATTCGGTTCTTGACGTTGTGAGGAAGGAAGCCGAGAATTGTGATTGCTTGCAAGGTGAGAATTATTTGGTGTTTTTATTTGAATTTTCGCTGAATTTTTGAGCGATTATTGTGACCTGCTTCTATTTTGTTCTCATGATCGATATTTTGGTGGAAATGTGGTAGATCGGTGTTGATCCTTATAAAACATAATTGGATCTAGCTTTTGGCTTACAGGATAGTGATTTTTGAAGACTACAAATTCCCTTCCATTCCTCATTTTCATTTCTATACAAGTATTTTTGTGTTGCATGACTGAATAATCGTTCGTTATTTTTGTGCTAGATTGCTCTTTCTTGGATACTTTTTAAGCATTTTACTCCATTTTTATCAATTTAGAAGTTGTTATAAAAATATGATAGGTCCTTTCTTCTTATCTTCGTTATTTTAATGAGAATACAATCTAGTTGCTACATTTCTACAATTAGGGAAAGGAAACAGGAGTTGATTATAGACAAAGAAATGGAAACGGGACTAGGTGGCATGGATTTATTGTGGGAAGGCTTATCTGAAGGAAGAAATTTTGGAATTGGAGGCTAACAGGCTAAGTTGCAAGGGTACTGGTGCGGATACAGGTACAGGTGCGGCTAAATGACACGGCGATTTTGTAAAAGGTAGGGTACAGGTATACGACTGAAACTTATGGGTATATAATCATAGAAACAATCCTTTTAAATTGTAGCTCTTAAGTTTGAAACGAACTCGTATCCAACAAGTTATAAATATAGATGTGAAGTGTATGATTATGATATATATCCAAGAAGTGTCCAAGAAGTGTCGGACATGGGTATGGGTACAACACATTTTGGGTATGGGTATGGCTCCATATTAGAAGTACCCAGGTAACATAGCTAATAGAGTTCAACTGCAAACTACAAACCTACAAGAACTCCATATTGCAGTCTTCGGTTGCTGTTGGGGGCCTAAATGAGCTGGAAATATATTTGGATTCTTTTATTGGTGCACCCAAAAGGAGTATTATTAAACTATATCCTTGGAACTTCACTCAATGTGCACACCAACAATATTAGCCTTCACAATCCTTTTTCTTTAGGTTAGACAAAACATTCAAAATAAGTTAAGAACAAGAGTTAGTTGATGTCTTCGGAAGTAGAAGAAACCACACAAGTTAGTTAGGATTGTGGTAGTTGGAATTGCATGTTGTTGGAATATATTGCGTCTCATGACTTATCCAACTGGATACTACACCTGCCAAAGAGTTTGCATGAAAACAATTTTACGAGGTTCTTTTAAATTTGTTTTTCATATGTTCTCTTCTGAATATACCCCATTGTTTGAATAAGTATTGAAGCTTGTTTAGAGATAAAAAAAAATGGTTCAATTGGTTGAAATAAAATTTAAAAGAAAGGGATGAAAGATGTATAAGTTAGCTTTGAGGAAAAAGCAGTGAAAGTTTTTGACATCTGATTTACATTAAGTGGGAAATTGGATATAAGGTGTATATATATATATATATATTATATTGCAATTATGAGATATATAATTGTTGTTGCTAATACCAATGCTTATCTTTGAGAGGTCACGTGTTGCATTATTGGTTCCACTATAGTTAAGATGACTACTTTTGCAGCTGCAACTGCTGTAGCTGGAGTCCAGCTATAGCAAAAACAGTGGTGAGGCTGATACTTACGGATATAGGAGTCGTACTGAGCTTCTACTGGATCAAACTAAATAGTTTTTCACTGAAGCTGATTCAGAAGACGGCTCTGCCATAGTGACTCCGTTGCATTTGCACTGTAATTGGAGTAGTTGGAGCTGTATAGCTGGAGCCGTCTTCTGAATTGGCATCAAATCAGTTGCCACAGTATCAACTATATAGTAGATCCAGCTTCATTGAATCAAACCATGTACTTGCTTCATTCTCTGTGCTAACTAAAGTTGCCAATCTAAACAGCCCCGGGTGAGGTAGTTCTTTAAGAAACCAAATTTTTTATGGTGAATCATAGAGAAAAATCACATCAAGTTCATTTATTAGCTGATTTTGTTGAAAGAACAAATATAGTTTTCACATGTTTTCTTTCTCTTTCTGTTAGCTTACCTTATTCATTGCAGGTGGATAGTTTACTATGATATGAGTTACCTGACGCACTGACCAATATCTTATCCTGTATGAAGCAAATAACACAGCCATGTTCTGTGTATATATTTGTGTGTATATATATTTGTAATTTAATAAAAGAAAAAAAATTAGAAAACCTCTTTCACTCTAGGAATTTTTTATTGTTTTGCAGTAATACAGCCGCATCCATAACTTATTTGTTTTCCTCGTACAGGATTCCAAGTATGCCATTCTTTGGGAGGAGGTACCGGATCTGGCATGGGAACTCTTCTCATCTCGAAGATCAGAGAGGAGTACCCTGATCGCATGATGTTGACATTCTCTGTGTTCCCATCACCAAAGGTCTCTGACACTGTTGTCGAGCCATACAATGCTACACTCTCTGTACATCAGCTTGTTGAAAATGCAGATGAATGCATGGTCCTAGATAACGAAGCACTGTATGATATTTGCTTCCGCACGCTGAAGCTTGCAACTCCGACATGTAAGTCAAGCTTCCAGTCCTTTTATTCAAATATGTTGTTAACTTCTGTTATTTATTCTTTCTATTTTCAAAACTTTAATTTCAATTATTATGTAGTATGAAATAAGAAGGAACAATTTAAAACTGATAGCTTTTTGTTTAAAAGGATTTGCATTATGGTCTATTCGTCTTCCTTGCCTTATATGTGTGTGTGTGTGTGTAATATTTAACTTCTTTTAGGCAGAAACATTCTGCAATATTTTTGTCACAAAACCATTTAACTTGTGTCCTCTCTTTTTTGGATCTCATGTAGACTATTTATCTGTTTTTCCCATAAGCACCAATTATTAGAGGCAACTAGTTTTGTTAAGATAAAGAGACCTGTAGTGGTCTCCACACATGTTACATCTTCAGTTGTGTTGGTATTGACAGTCTTCTCCTGGTTGATTTTTTTACATAACATGTCATAATGTTTGCATCTACTCTTTTTCAACTGATCTCTCCATATTAGGATTTCCCCTTTGTCCAGTCAGTCTGAGCTGGATAAATTTTAGTGTGAAGAAAGTTTTATTTGAAGACCGTCAATACCATGTTGGATCTATCATGTTATTGCTGGATGCTTGTTCAGAAGGTTATAAAACACTTTTTGTGTTGACATTTGTCATGTAGTAATATAGAAAAAGTAGCTGTATCACTGTGACAATCGATCTCTCTCATCTGCTTGATTCCTTGATATTTAGTTGCTATATGTTACTATATGGCATCCTTGATATTTAATTGACTATATGTTCCTGTAACAGTTCACTACTATATGTAGGTTTGTGAAACTTTTGTTTCTATTTATCATATCATACTAATTATATTTTTAGTTCTAAAGACAATTATCATATTTGATCCTGCCGTAGTCCTGCCTTAGTCCTTACTGTCGTTCTCAAACTCTCATAAGTCGTGCCCCTTGGTGATGTCATAATTAGGCATGAATATTGAGCAATATTTTGATGTCATAATTAAGACTATTTGTTGTGCCTTCTCTTACTTTTTTCATCTGTCCTCAGTTGGCGACCTCAATCACCTAATCTCTGCAACCATGAGCGGTGTCACCTGCTGTCTCCGGTTCCCTGGTCAACTCAACTCCGACCTCCGGAAACTAGCTGTCAACTTAATCCCATTCCCGCGTCTCCACTTCTTCATGGTAGGGTTTGCCCCCTTGACTTCAAGGGGTTCCCAACAATACCGTGCGCTCACCGTGCCTGAGCTCACACAGCAAATGTGGGACTCCAAAAACATGATGTGCGCTGCTGACCCAAGGCATGGACGCTACCTCACTGCCTCTGCAATGTTCCGTGGAAAAATGAGCACCAAAGAAGTCGATGAGCAGATGATAAATGTCCAAAACAAGAACTCTTCCTACTTTGTTGAATGGATTCCTAACAATGTAAAGTCCAGCGTGTGTGATATCCCACCCAAGGGCTTGAAAATGGCATCCACATTCATTGGAAATTCGACGTCTATTCAAGAAATGTTCAGGAGGGTGAGTGAACAGTTCACAGCTATGTTCAGGAGGAAGGCTTTCTTGCATTGGTACACTGGTGAAGGAATGGATGAGATGGAGTTTACTGAAGCCGAGAGTAATATGAATGATTTGGTGGCTGAGTATCAGCAGTATCAGGATGCTACAGCTGATGACGAGGAGTATGAAGATGAAGAAGAAGAAGAGGAAGTTGGTGCATAAGGTAAATTTTAGCTTTGGCTTGGGATGGTTTGGCGTTTTCTTTACATCAAAGGCGCTTATTTGTTTGTAATCTATGTATGATGTGTATCAATGTGAAGATTGTTGTGCCTGTGAGTGAGCCTAGATGTTGTGGTTTCGGTATGTGGTGGTTGTTTTCTTTTGTGTGTTGTGAAAATATTAGTGATTTAATTCCATTTACGTGGTTTTTTCGTGTTTTGTGATTTGGGGTTCAGTGATACTCGGCCTTGTTACATTTTTTGAGTGCTGCTCCTTCCATGGTTTTGCTAACCTAAACAACAAGACCTGTTCGGTGACGATGATTTGGCTTACGATTCACTAAGATGGTAAATTCTTTTATCCTAATGTTTTAGTTGTTAATGTTATTCGTTGGTTATTAAGGTTATGGTTTGATTGTTAAGGTTTTGACTTAGTTGTTAAGGTTATGAGTTAGTTGTTAGGACTATTAGTTGGTTGTTAGGTTTATGTGTTCGTTGTTAAGTTTATGTGTTCGTTGTTATTGTTATGAGTTTGTTGTAAAAGTTATAAATCGGTTGCTAATGTTACTGTTTTGTTGTTATATTTATGAAGGTATGAAGCCATGATTTTAGCAACTAATCCAGGAGGTCGTTTTGTTATTAATGCTAATGACGAAAGATTTAGGTGTTTTTTCATAAGTTATAATGTATGTATTGAAGGGTTCATTGCTGGATGTAGGCCTCTCTTATTTTTGGATGGAACCTTAAAGACCGCTACAGAGGTATATTACTTAGTGTCACAGGATATGACGGCAACCAAAGAATATTTTCTCTTGGTTATTGCGTATGTGACCAGGAGAATGAGGAAAATTAAAAATGGTTCTTACAAGGAGTATAGACGATACTATATGATAGGAAAAGGTCTTACAATACTCCACATTAACTCGTAATGATTTCTGATGCCGACAAGGGTATTAGGATAGCAGTCGAGGAATTCTTTCCAGATGCATTTCATTCAAGGTGTGTTCTACAGATTGGTTGTTAACCTTAGGAATTTGAGCTTCTTAATATTTTTAATAGTGTATATTTGTTTGTGTCTAGATATGACTGCAGATTCTACCTCTACCTGTTTATAAAAGCTATTATTGAAGATACCTAATGATAATAACCAATTTGTATCATTAACAACAAATCACTAAGCTTCACAATTAAAGCTTAACATTAACAATCAATCCATAAACTTCACAATCATAGCCTAACATTAACAACCAATTTATAACATTAACAATCAATCCCTAAGCTTCCCAACCAAAGTCTAACCTTAACAACCAATTTGTAACATTAATAATCAATTCCTAAACTTCACAACCAAGACCTAACCTTAAAAACCAAATTTTGATATTAATAACAAACAAATATATAGTCATAACCAAACAAAAGAGTTTCAGAAAACTTACGATCCCTTTTGTTCCTCGCATGGAACTATGATTGGATTGAATACGCTGTACAACTTATTCTCATCAAAGCTAGTTTTAATGTAGTTGAAGGCTTTAACAATGTTGAGCCCAATATCCAGATCGATTTTTCAATGAGCCATAATATTTGGCAATATTATTTTTTATATCAAACTCCAAGAGATGCCAATGATCTCCTTGGACAATGGGAACTAGGAGGTTAGTAATTCCTTCATCGATGAAACTTTTGATGAAGATTTCATATGCATCTCGATAGTCAGGTACTTTTTTTCCCACGTGTATTGTATATTGTAATCAAGAATTAGACTGATCAGTAACTTTTAACATTGATTGAAATAGATAATAGATATATGCCCTAGATATATATACTTACTAGGGGAAAAACAGAGACCAACATATATTTTTGCAATATGATTCGTTCTGATGCATGTTCTGTCATTCACGTATGGTATCAATTAGCGCCTCAGTAACCTATAAGATGCCACACAAAAAATAAATAATAATAAAATAAAATATGATAAGCAATAGTTTTCAAGAATAAATTTTATCTTACTGAATTATCAAGTCGACTACCACGTAAATTATGAAGAAGCTCAAATCTGTCAATAGGTGACCATTAAAATTTGTACACTTTAATTAAACTACAAAAAGAATGAAATAATTAATATACTTAGCAAAAAATATGTAACCTTAACAACCAATACCTAACACAACCAAAATCTAACCATAACAACAAGCCTGTAACACTAAAAACCAAATCGTAACATTAACAACAAATTAGAAACCTTAACAACCAAATTGTAACCTTAAATCAGAAACATTAACAATCAAACCGTAACCTTAACAACCAACTCGTAACCTTAACAACCAAACTGTAACCCTAACAGCTAGTTGATAACCTTAAAAGCAAAACTATAAAATCGAACATTTGAGCTAAATAGTTACTTGTTGCACCTACAAATGCAGAAATGGTTGAGAACTTTATTCCCCTCTTGCGTCAGCAGGGCAGCAACATCTACTGACACCTTATAATTATAAAAAAATGTTGGGTGCTTATAAAAAATTTGATAATGAAGCCTTCATGAAAGGGAATCCCTATGTTTAAGTCATTCCTGTACTTTTCTTCTTCCTTGCTCATAGGGGAACTCATGAGGGTTTTCAAGATTGAGTGGGGATCACCATGTAGCCCAGCAGACGGCAATTCTGTTTTCTTTTCTCCCACCTGCTCTTCCTCCTTCCCCCCCCCACTTAAGGGTGTCCAAAAAGCCCGCGGCCCGGGCCTAGGCTCGGGCCACCCGTCCCGACGTCGGATCAGAGCTGATATTGTTTTGGGCCCGGTCCGTATCAGCCCGGCGGCCCGACGCCAACGGTCACAATTTGTGACCGTTGGCGGAATTTGGCCTGGCTCGGCCTTGCCCGGTCATTTCTGACCGTTTATGTCGGGCCGGCCAAACGACCATATTTGGTCATTTGACCGATTTGTCCCTTAAAACAGTCAAAAAACGATTAGAATATAAAGGTTTTTTGGTCATTTGCCTAGGGGGCTGCCTCTATAAATAGAGGGGGGTTTCACTTCATTTCCTCACAACAAAACTCATCTACTTCTCTCTAATACTCTCTTATACTATCTTATAATCTCTTATATTTTCTAATACTTCCATCAAATGGCTTCTGGATCTGATTATGAAGAGCAAAATCTATCTCCTACCGATCCAGAGATGAGTCATCCTATAACAACTCCTCCTCCTACCGGTGTTAATCCTGAATCTGGTGGCGACGAATCTACTGCACCAAGAGCTCCTAAAAGGCCGAGATCCGATGTGTGGAATTTTTTTGAGAAGATAGACGTCACCAAGGATGAACACGGTAAGATCATCTACCAGAAGGCAAAATGTGCGTTGTGCGGCCAGGTTTTCCAAGCTCATCATAAGAGCGGCACCAACAATCTCAAACGCCATATAGAAAAACACAACAAAGACCATAATCTTCAAGGTGATATCCGACAGTCTATGATTTCCCAATCATCCTCTTCTGGTACCCTCGGTAGTTGGAATTATGACGCTGCCCGAGCTAGAAAATGCGTAATCAGGTTTATTGTTCTTAAAAACCTGCCTTTTAAATTAGTAGAAGATGATAAATTTGAAGATTTGTTTAGAGACGGTTTTTATTCCGCATTTACAAAATTTTCTCGTCAAACCTGTCAACGTGATATTTTAAAATATTATCAGGAGGAACAAGAAAAAAATATTTCTTATTTTAAAAATTTAAACTGTAAATTTTTTTTAACTTCTGATATTTGGACATCTAGAGTGCAAACTGGTTATTTATGTATCACAGCACACTGGATTGATAAAAATTAGCAAATGTTTAAAAGAGTTGTTTCTTTTATTATAATTGAAGAGTCACACACTGGTATTAATATTACAAATTTAATAATTGAAGAACTTATGAAACTAGAAATTGATCAAAGAATATTTTTTTTTCACTAGATAATGTAAGTAATAACAATGTAGCTGTTGATTTTATTAAAACAACTTTGTCATTGTCATACCATGGTGACCTTTTTCATATTAGATGTATCTGTCATATTTTAAATTTAATTGTTCAAAGTGTATTTTCTGAAATTAAACCCATGATAGAAAAGGTTAGAACAGTTGCTAATATGCATAATGCTTCTGAAATAAAAATTAAAAGATGGAAACAATGTTGTAAAAGAAAAAATTATAAGTCTAGACTAATTCCAAAAGATGTTAACCATAGATGAAATTCCACATATGCAATGTTAAGTGTAGCAATAGAATATAAAGAAATTATAAATGATTTTATAAATTTTTATGCTTCTAGTTCTAGCTCTGGTAGCACTTATGGAATAAATAAAGATGAATGGACAATTATATGTAAATTAAATAAGATGTTACAAGTTTTTTATGATGCTACTATGTTATTATCTGGTTGTTATTATCCAACTATTAATTTAGCTGCTTTACAAATTTTAAATATTCAAAAAAATTTTGCCAAATATCGTATGGATGATATTTTTGGAAATATAATTTTTCAAATGGAGATCAAATTTAATAAGTATTTTAGGCATATTCCTCATATTTTTGGTTTGGGGGTTCTTATTGATCCATGTTTGAAGTATATTGGTCTTCGAAGTTTGTTACAGTCATTGTATGGTGAACAAATTATAGACTTAGATGATGGTTCCACCCTTACGGCTACTTCTCATCATTTATCTATTAGAAATTATTTTCAAACATTATATAAGGAGTATGCAGCTAGACATGGTGTAGCTGCACAACTGTCTACAGCTTCAGCGCCTTCGGCTTCGAGCACAGGTCGAGGTAAAAGTATAAGTTTTGATAGGTATGCAATGGTAGCTGAACTAACTGGTGGATCTGGAATTGGTTCAGGATTAGAGGTTTCTGAATTAGATGAATATTTTTTTGCTTCCTTAGTTAAATATCAAGGAAATGCTTTAGATATTTTGTAATGGTGGAGAGTATATGGATCAGTTTCATATCCTATACTTTCCACCATGGTTCGTGACTTACTATTAGTGCAGGTTTCGACAGTAGCTTCAGAATCCGCTTTCAGCACAGCATAACGTTTGATCGACGACCACAGGACATGCTTAGATCCATATACTATACAAGCGGTGATGTGCTTACATGATTGGTGGATGTACAAGAAGCGAACACAAGGCATCGATCTGATTGCTATAATTGAAGATAAATTTAAAGAGTTGGGACTAGCAGATAGATATAAA